ATCCACATTTTCAGGGCACAGACCCCTTCTAGCTTTCATCATCGTCATTAAACAGGCACCGTATTTCAATCTGAATGCAAGGTGAATGCAGAAGAATCATCGAAAACCAGCCATGCCCTGGAATAGAGAGCCAGGAGTGAAAACCACTGGAGTAATGTGTCATGGTGACCAGCCACTCAAGCAGGTATGAAATCCAATTTTATTTTAATTTGATGAAACTCATTTTGACTGAATGAACACTAAGAGGCTGGGCTGAGTCACACTACTTATGCCATTATAATAAATTGAGTATAAAGATCAATTGTGGTTTTGAGGAAGCACCTTCCTCCCACACAAACTCAATTTCAACGCTAATAGTGCCATCTAGAGTCCGTCAGTGTGCAGCTTAGCACGTTCAGTACATAGTAGATAGGAGATAACAATCAAAGTAAATACTGCATAGTTTAAAATACCTTCTTACTGATTTAACTAAGGAGTGTCAGGTAACTGCATAACATTATAAGATTCTGCATCTCAGCTGTGCTCCAGACTATCCTCTTTATTATCATATTCCAGATGTGGTCTTCTCCTGTTTTTTACATGTAAACATACATTTATTGCACAATTTAAATGTATATTAAACAGCTTTGCTGAATAAAGAAATTTAGGTATTCATTTTTCCTTAAAATAATGACTTGCCTTTTACTTGTTCTGCAGTATGCAATTTTGACTTATGCCATTGTCACAAATAGTCCAACACTTTGGACTACCTCTACTGTAAAACCCCAAAATGACTTAATATTAATTAGTGCATTGAGCTTTATGTATTGTTCTTTTTGATGGTGGCAGATGGGGAAAGTGAAGTTTACTTACCAGCACTTTAATCATTTAACAAGTTATATTAAATGTGATTTTAATTAACTCAAGCATGATAGACATTTTTTAATCTAATGGCCTGATATAACATGAAACTATGAAACAGCATATTTTGAATAAGGTAACAGATTCACTGCCTTCTCTGAATGCGGGCCAGTTATGCTTAACGCCCAAAGATCCATTCTGAGTCAGGAAAACCCCTTAGAGCCTTGACAGTTTCACACAGATAAGTACATAGTTTCATTCTTGTGAATGCGTGCAGTGGCTTTTAAGGTCTGTGTGTCTTAAGCTCGTGGTGGCTTGCTGTTAGCAAAAGCTAAACCCAAGACATTAGCCACTGATGACTTCCAGCCTGTTTTCACGCTCAACATTACTATTGAAATATTCATTAAAGCACTGTTATGGCAGCTATGCAGTACACGACACACACAAATTACAAGAAAAAAATAATTTCAAGCTAGTTAAACAAATAATAATCTGTATTAAATATAAAAATAAGTAAACTTAACATACTGTTCCTTTTGCACAGTATGTTTTTTGACTTTATATTACTAGTTATTTAGGTATAGCATACTCATAGTGAGAATGTAATCAAGCACATTTGTTTTAAAGCCAACTTATTATAACTTATAATGTAAGGCCGCGCTATCAAAAGGAAAATAAGAGTTGTAGTCAAGTGAAAGAGAAAGTTTGCACAGGAAGTGCAGCCCTGTCAAAAAATAAGTCCTGTAGCTTGTAGAACCACTTTTAGCAGCAATAATTTAAAGTAATCGTTTTCTGTATGACTTTACCAGTCACTCACATTGTTGTGGAGGAATTTTAGCTCAATATTCGTTAAAGCTAATCAAGTTAATTCTTCTTTAGTTAATTGAGGTTTGTGAGTCTTAAATCTGGAGCATCTGGACTTTGATCTGGTCATTGCAGGACCTTGATTCTTTTATTTTCAGTATTCTGCTGTGCTCAGGATCATTGTCCTGCTACACGACTCAGTTTTGGCCAAGCTGCTGGACCAGTGTTCTCACATTTGACACTTTTAAGAATACTTTGGTAAAGCATTCTTAAAAGTTTATTTGAGGTATTTGTGCTTATATGCTATTTTTGGTTTTCCCCAAACATGGCCAAACATCTCCACTCTGGTCTTTCCAAAGGACATTAAGAAGTCGTGTGATTTGTTCTGAACTTAAACTGCGCTGGCATGCTCTTTTTAAAGAGAAGAGTCTTTTCCCCCTCCCGAACAGGCCATACTTGTTCAGTCTTTTTCTAATTGTGTTGTCATGATCTTTAATATTTAACATGCTCACTGAAGCCTGTAGCTCTTGGATTTGTTTTTAGAATTTCTGTGAGCATTGCATGGTCTGACACTGGTGTCAACTCCTGTGAAGAGTTGAATGTTCTCCACTAGTGAATAATATTTCTCAATGTAAAATGATGGACTTCAAATTATTTGGAAATAGCCTTTTAATTGTTTCCAGGTTGATGGACAGCAACAACTGCTTCTCTAAGGTCATTGCTCATGTTTTTCCTCTTTGGCACTGTGCTAACACACACCTGAAGACTCCACAGCGGCAAACTGTCAAAAGTCCTGCTTTTTTGGAGGTGCTCGCACTTCCTGATGATCAGTTAATCCATTGCTTTTAATGAGCATCACCTGGCTGCTAATTTACCATCTTAATTCCTTAGGAAGAATTATGGGTGACTGCAGAGTCCTGTGAACATTTTCTTTTTCACATGACTGCAGGCGTAAATAGTTTCCTTAAGTAAAGTCTAAACAGCTAGCTGTAACAAGTAATAAAACTCATGCAATAAAAAAGCAGTAAAAGAAATCTGATCACATAAAAACGGTATCTCTTCACGCAGATTTACTGCATTACAATTTAGAGTCCTGTTTGAAAAACTTTTTTTTAAACATTAGTGTTAAGTAAAATTTTCAGCAAAAGTTAAGCCATGTGGCACTTTTGCAATTTATGTTTACTCCTGCGGATGGTGGGAAGTAATCAGAATGTCATGTCACTTTGAAAACAGTGAAGAGCCGTGAGTTGACAAAGAGTCAGGTCAAAAAGGGATTGAAAATTTGCACTAAGAACCTCAAACCTGTCAGTTAATTTCAAATACTTGCCTACTTAATTTACCCCAGTAAAGCCTAATTCCTCATCACACTGCTTTTTTCCAGTTGCAAGAGTCATGCGATCTATATAGTAATCTGTGTGTTCTGTAGACACCCTATGAGCCAGACTCTCCACAAACTCCAGCACCAGCAAAAAAGTTTTAAAAGCTCTTCAATTAGTCTTTACCCAGAACTTTCCACTGGCATGACTCACAGTCAGAGCTTCTACTAAAAGACTTCAGTTAAAAAAAGACAGAGAAAACAGTGGGTGTAAGCAGAAATACAGACAGTTATGCTGTTGTGTCACATTCTTTATTCTATAAAGGGAACCGAATTGTGATCTGGCCATATAGAAATTCTGAAACTCTTACACACATGACACTGCTCCTTGACCACCACATAGACTGAAGTTGTGTCAAATGCCTCTATTTTGCCACACTGTTTGTCAGCTAGGTCAGCTCGTCCAACAATGTACACTCACCTTCCTTACCCTGTGTCAGCAGGACTGATGCAATATAAGCAAACAGAGCCTAAGTGTTAGGTTTTTTTTAAGTCAACGACTAAGCTATATATAGAAAATAACTTGCAACTGTGAAATTTCATCAAACTGCACAGTGTTTGTGCTGCTCCCATACCAGCTGGGAACTCAATGAACACTCCCATCAGCTGTTGAACAGACTCTTTTTGTTGACTAAAAACACAACTCGTGATGCCCAGCAGTATGTAGAATGAAAGCAGGAAATAACCGCAGTTCTCAGCTGAGGAATGACCCGGTTATGCAAAATTTGGATCTGGATCCATCTGACAAAAGGATATTCATTGCTTCTTTTATCTGGATTGTGACTGTAATATAATTCATTTAGGCTACAGCAGAACCCGCTACATTTTCAGACATCTGTCAGCTTTTCCTAGACACATGTGAAGAGGCTGTGTTTGCCCTTATAGTCAGGAGTTTGGTTACCATTTCTGAGTCAGAAACAGGCAAATGTCAAAGTGCCTTGGAGCCACAGATGAGAGGGGAAACAATATCAACAGTGCAACGTGGCAATGAATAGCAGACTGGTTTCATCATTCAAGCTCAGTTACTTTAAAAGACAGCTTGTATATAAAAGCCACTAAGCTACACACAGTAAATGACACTGAAATAAAATCTGCTTATGCAGTTTAGTGCCATGAAAAAATATGAATAAACAGTATTTAGAGCAAAAAGATTTGTTTATTATCCAAAAGGGATCAGTGGCCACTTAACAACTTAGCCGATGTTTCGTAGCTTTAGTAAAATACATGTATTTATATTTAAATACAAATGTATTTACATTTAAAGCAAAAAATGCCAACATAAGCACTTTCCAATGACAGGATACTGCATGGAGAAAAGAATTCAATTAAAGATGTAACTGTAGCTGCTGGGAAATTGTGAGGTGATTTTAGAGACAATACAATAATGCTACACATACTGACAATACTGAAAATACTTTTAAATATAAAGGCAATCTTTATCAAATGCTAACATGTATATTTGTTCATTAAAGGAAGGAGCTTTTTGTGTGATAAAATTAAACTTAGAAGACTTTCTTACTGGAAAGTTTTGTAACACAGGTTTTAGTCAGCCTTAGAGGAGTCTCTGCATGGATGCTATATATCTGATCTGTGCTGCTTTGTTTTGCGTGCTAAATGTTTTACTTACTAACACATTATAAACTGGTCACAAAAAAGACAATTTATCAAGAAAATAACCAGCACTTATTGAAGCCATGGTCATATTTGACTTTTTTTTCAGGGGTATTGTTAAGTCCACTACACAGACAATCACAGCTCAATGTTAAATGATGCAACAGTCTAAGTTTTCAATATACATTGTGAGCCTTTGAGTGACCTTTAGGACACTGTGCAGGTCAGTATATCTTACTGGCTGCAATATCTTATCTGCTAACAGAGTACATTGGATTTCGATGTTATGTCACGGGGTCAAATGTAAATACACTTTCAGTGCTTTGTAGTTAAACATTACGGTAACAGGTGCTACCTCTCACGGTCTCACCTGCTTGGGGTCATCGTAGAAGACACCGATGGCGTTCAGCTTTGGCCCAATGCTGCAGCTCTCAGTGTAGGCTGCACCGCAGTCCTTGTATGGTCCCTCTTTAAACTTATAAGCAATGGTGACATTTCTAATTGGAGGCGGTCCAGTCTTAATGACAATGTCTGACAGGACCCCCGAGTACAGCAGTAAGCTCCCCACCGTCCCAACCAAACACAGCAGAAGGACAATTATCAGCAGCAGCAGAAATAAATCGGACATGGTCTCTCAAGGCGGTACAATAGCTGCAGACACTGCAAAATCTGGTGCTAAACGTCCTCCTTCGGGTCACTCTCGCACCGACGCTGTCGTCCTAATGGCTCAAATAACACGGCACAAGAATCGGGACTATTCAAAAGTCAGTGCTGAATTGTTGTTGTTTTTTAAGCCGAAATAGCTACACAAAGTCCAAGCACAGCGGAAAGCTAGTTATTTCCCCAAACAAAGGTACACGCTTCCCGGTCAGACCAAGCTGATTCACCTCGGGGGGAGGCGTTTATGTTTTATTTAAAGGACTTGTTGGTTTTTGTAAATTACGTCGGTAAAATAGCAAATAACCGTATAACACGTTATACTAAATGAATATTACTCCTACTGAGCTTCGAAAATCCGGCTTGGACGCAAAGAAATACTCATTATTTTCAATAGCACCCCCTTTCCATTAATATGAACAAGTCTAAAAATAAATAAATAAATTGATAAATAAAAAACTGATATCAAACATTACTGCTTTATAGTGTGACAACGTTCAGGTAACGGTGTAAATTCAAAAATACTCATATAAAAAATACATGTAAGCAGAATTTGGTGGATATTATTATTACAGTATGCGCAGGCATACCAGAACAAGTCTGGAGTACTATTTGGGACAGGAGCGGTGTGGCAGAAAACAAAAACAAAAAAAACCCAGATGCACTATTTTCCTGCTTTTCACAGAAAACTACCAGAAACAACACAAGAAGATGTGTACACTCACCATCAGATTAGAGGTCCTCAATGCTTATTTAGTTCCTGGGACCAGAGACACAAACCATGTTTAATCTCCTCAGTGCTATCAGCTCTAAACCACTTAGATCATGAGTATGAAGTGTGACAAGTTATCATTGTTTGGCAGATCAATGTGCTGCAGCCAGTTTTGGTGTATTGTTCCATTTCAGTCAGCTGCATTTTGGAAAGCATCTAATTTATCACGTACTGTTCACATCACATCCTGTTTGCTAACTCTTTTTGTTCCTAATTTTATTAATTTACTAGATTCATGATTATAAGCAGAGAAATGCTAATTATATTTCAGCAAACATATTTTGTGTACCTGTCTCATGCTGTTTTCAAGTGCTGCTGATGGAAATTTTGTGATATAGTGCATTACGATATATGATCAACATTGCTGAAATAAAGGCCGCTACATAGAAATGTGTGCTACTATCTACTGAAATAAAAATGTTAGTTTTAAACTACACGGAACAGACACAATAAAACTAGCACAAAGGCACTATTTCAATTTCCTTGGTGATGTGTTAAATAATAAATTGTGCATTGGACCTGTAGAGGATTTCTCTTCTCCTCAGGTATTTTAACAGCATTCAAGCCATAATGTATTATCAATAAAAACTCTATAATAACCCTGCAAAAAAGAAAATCCAATACTTTAAGTTTCAGGAGCAGAAAACTCTTATACATTCATTCAAAGCAGCATCTGTTCTTTGTGAGGTGAAACTTTCCCCAAAGCTATCACGTTATATTTCTTTAATTATCATGTAATACAACTTTAATGTGAAATCCTGTGCTTTTATATCAGCAAAAGCAAAAACTATGATTCACTGTTCATAGCTAGAGATCCATAGTACATAAGGAATGGCACTATTTAAGAGTTGTTGTTTTTTAACTCTAATGTAGAATTTTAACCATCAAGCGCTGTTATTAAATGCTCATAAATGAGTCTCCAGGACCTTAAAGTATCAAATATATATTGTTTCCTTTCCTTTAGAGCTTACACTAATCAGTGCTGTCCCTCATTACAGGATTTGCCAGGAACAAAGATCGCTGTGTTGAGCCTGAGCACTGTGATGTGATTTTCCCAGGCTTACAATACAAAGAAAAAAACGCAAGTTCTCTAACATTGCCTCAAATGACAGAGCGTGTCAAAACACTACATTATTATGGTGATATTAAACTAATGACAGGACATACCATTTTATACAAGATCTGGAAAAGAGAGGTCTTGAAAATTAAATGAAACAATCAAAATCATTTTTATTTTATTTTTTATTTTTTTACAGTTTCAAAGCTGATAAACAAGGTATTTTATCGGAATCGTTAAATTGGTAAGCATTTTAAAATATAACATATGAATGACATATTCATCCACCACTTTTAAATGTAACACTTTTTTTAACACTGTGCCCTAGTGTGATAACTTATTTAATAGGATTAATAGGATTAACAGTAATGAGATTTGTTCACCTGTAAATAGAAACAAAATGAAAATAGGAAGATTCAAACATTTATTATTATGTCAGTAAAGACGTATTACTCAGAGTCATCTGAAGTATCCTCCTGGTCCACATTCTCCACTCTGTTAACCTTTTTAATTCCCTCAGAGTCACTCTCCTGGGCCTGCACACAATAACAGCACACACATGGTAAACATGACTATTTGTGAACACGCATGCATGAAACAGCATTAATGGTAGAGAATAAATACAGTGACTATATGTAAGAGTTACATAGTTATACAGTACACCGCTTCCCTGTTAACTGTCTCAGCCACTAATTTTTAGCCTGCTAGAGAATGACAGTTATCTTATCGGCCCCACTGCTCTACAGCTTCAACTGCCTGTTGAAGCCGTTGAACCGACCAGTTAATACTTCTAAAAGTAAGTATAGTGCATTGGAGGGGGGAGGGGCTTGTTTTGTATTTTATTTTAACCAGTTTTCAGATGCCAAAAACTTTTTTTTGTTTAATAACTATTCAAAAACAAACAACAAATTGTAATATATATACACACCACTGCCCACTTTATTAGGTACACCTTACTAATACCTTGAACTCAAGGTGCTGCACATTTCTCAGAAATTGTGGTCCATATTGGCATGACAGCATCACACAGCTGCTGCAGATTTGTTGGCTGCACATCCATGGTACAAAAATCTATTTCTCTTTTAAAGGTGCTGTATTGAACTGAGATTTGGTGTCTGTGGAGACTATTTGGGTGCAGTGACTTCATTATTATGGTTCAGGAAATCAGTTTTGTGATATGGCACATTATCCTGCTCGAGTATTGCTGTTGACCATGTCCATCTCCTTATGATGATGGTCAGCAGTATTAGTCAAGCAGGCTGTGATTTTTAAACAACGTTCAGTTGGTACTAAGATGCCTAAAACACCACGAGCAGCCTGAACTGCTAATATAAGGCAAAATGGATCCATACTTTTCATTTTGTCGACACCAAAGAGAGACCCTACCATCTAAATGTTGCATTTGAAATCAAGACTCATCAGCAATGTTTTTCCAATCTTCCATTGTTCAATTTAACTGAGCCCGTGAAACTGGTGTACCTAACAAAGGGTGTGAGTGTATAGGCAACAAACGTCTAAACTGCAACAAGCCTTTGGAGTGTCGGCCCAATTCATGTTTTATCTTTTACAAGAAATTACAATTACCTCATCTTCTGACTGCTCCTGTGGAGGTGGTGAACGCTCTGGCTGCTGCTCCTCCTCCTCCTCATCATCATCATCTTCTTCTTCTTGTGACCTCTGAGAAAGAATCTCTTCCCCCTGCAGGGTAAATCATATTCTTTTAAGTTAATGATTTAAAATGTATTAGGAATTAAAACAATAATGTTAAATAATATTTTACCTTCAGGTTGCGATTCTTCAGATTACCCATCCAAAAGGCCTCCTGACAGTTGTTGAGCGTCAGCATGGCCTTCACTCTGTATAAAAACAGCTCGAGGCTCTTCTTCAAGGCTGGCACGTGGTTGGTCAAGCTGGTATCCTGATGCATCTGAGCACCAATGTATTATAATCAGTTAAAGAAATCCCGAGGATGAAGGTGAACACTACACAGACTCGGTTCTTTCTTCAATTTAACAGAAATAATCAAATTACCTTAGAATGTCCACACATGTGATGAAGCTGCCGAGTGCTGAGCTGGAAGGTCTTCAGCAAACTCTGGACATCCTCCTTGAAAGATACAAGCATCGCCATGTCTATTACAGGTTCATGGACAAATATTTTCCAATATGTGCTGATATATAAACTTTTCTTTGCAGAAAATAACATAGGGAAAGATCCTTGGCTTAAAATGGTCTTATCATATAGCTAGCCAGCAGAGCCGCTCAGGTTCATTGTATGCAATCCTCAAGCTGACGGTGGGGTAAAGTTAATTAGATTACTACGCTGATGGTGTTTTTATTATTTTGCCAGTATATAAAATCATGGTTAGGGTATACTTTCCTACAGCACCATTGAGAGTTTTAGTAAACATGACATTGTGTAGTGTGCATGTGACGGGGGTGGGAGATCTGACATGAAAGTATACCGACAGCTGTGAAGTGGCTTCATAACTACCTTGTGCCTTTTGAAACTGTAGTCCAATAGCGGCATTCCCAACTTCAGGAAAGACTCCAGGAAAAGGCGGCCATACTATCAAATACAAGATTCAAACCAGTTAAGGAAAACGTTGAACAGTTAGTGAAGGTGAGATCATAGTCAGCATGCAGAACCCACTCACCTTTAAGCACACGTTGAGAACGGGCCGAGAATCAAAAACCTGCAAGGACAAAAACACACACGTGACATGGAATGGATGTTAACTCCCTTTTTAAATATCATTCATTCTAATCACTTTTCCAACAGTACCGTGACCATATACTTAGCTAAAGGTCAGCAGTCAGTCAGTTTATATGTTATACCTTAACCAGGTTGACCAGGATGTGAAAGTCCCTGACAGCCAGATTCCATGTCAGCAGTTTCTCACTCTGAGCCTAGAAGAAAGGCATACATGACTTTCTGAGTTTATGGGTCCGACTACTGTGATTTACATAAAGGAGAACATGCTGGACAGTGTGACACCTAGTGGCTGACCTCAGTGTTGTCACTCATTTTGCTAGCAGGAATCTTGCGAACAGCTTTCTCAAGCTCTGCCATCAAGACTTTGTAGAACACCAGGAATGTCTGCCTGATGAAAGAGAGAAAACCAAAGACTCAGATTTCAATCTAACAGCTTAACCAACAGTACAATCACCAGAGTTGACTCCAGTATGACTGAGAATCAAGAGCTCATGGTAGAGACCTACCTGCTGAGAGTGGGCCAGGAAGCAGAGCTCTCATCTTTTGATGCATTGATGAGCTCTGGGATTCCTTGAGCAGCTATTTCCTCCACTGCCTTTAGAATATCATCAACATGTTCCAGATAGATGCTACAGAGGCAGCCGAAGAAAAAGATATTGCAAGATAAAAAG